GAATTTATTAACAGACAGGTCCTTGGCAGCAAGCAATCCAGCACAGATAAACCGTGGCAGCAATTCAGCCTGCCAAGCTAACACTACAGTTCTCCAACATTAGTTAATGCGTTGACTCCTCCAAAAGGGGCGTGTGCACAAGCATTCCTTTTATAGTCTTGAGAGGAGCCTAATTACCACCAGCTGAGTGCAATTACCTCCTGTAACTGCATAATTGTTCCTTATGCCTATTAGCTCTCCGGTGCCAGGCATCCAGGAACAACTCCCTTCGCTCCTCCGCACTGCTGATGTCCGGATCACACTCCCTTGTTTCCTCCCCACTGGTCCAAGGCTCAAGTGCCTCCTGGTGGCCAACCAGCCTCTCTGTGCCCTGCTCAGAGTTGGAACCCTGTCCAGGGTCCTTCACATCCTCCAAAGCCGACTCATAGGGCCCCTCGCTGTCGGAGTCTGGTGGCAGCTCCAACGGCTCCTGCTGGGCCACAAACAGATAGCAAATCCTTTATAGTTGAATAAATTATTTCTAAGGTGTGCGAAGGTGTTTCAGAATATAAGAAATCATGTATAAAGAATCTCTTTTTGATTTATTAAAACAGCGGTGTCCTTTTGCACATTCAGAAGCTCTACTCAGTTGTCTCTGCATGGATGTGCATGCCAGCCAGCCAAAAAGCAACTGGAAGCGGCTTGGTTTGTACAGGTATATAGAGATAGCTGGCACAGCAGGTGTGGGAGCCTGGAAAAAGATACCACTGTTTTAATGATCTAAAGAGAGCTTTGTTTTAGTATGGATTGAACCACTTCTTCTGAAGGATTTCCATAGCCCCTAAAATCATTATTGGGTGAACTTTTTTCTTTTTAGCACGTATGAGATTTATGAATATACTACATGTGCAGAATAATAATTTAGAATTCAATTTATCATTGTTATTTGTTAACAGATTTGTTAACAAATCCTGTTAATAATATTTTAAAACATTATTCATTTTGAAAACCTTTATTCATAAACACCTGCTTTAATCACTCTTTCTATGACCTATTGGTACATTATTTAGTTGATGCTAAGTGCTTAACTTTTCTTTCTCCCTTCTTTCTTCATATCCTGAAATTTCAACTAACCTTTCAATGCTTTTCTTCCTTACCTCTTTTATTTGCTTCATTTATGCATTAAGTGGTTGCTTAGATTTAAGGTAAGAAACATCAGGGCTGGATTTCATTCTTATATTTGAGACTATTACATATGGGGAGAATTTTTGCTTCTTGCAAACTCATGGGAAGAAAGTAATCTTTAATATGTTTCTTGTGCCTTAAAAATATGCTAGATGCTGAAAGAACTAGATAACTAGCAAGGCCTTCAGCAATCAGATTTTATATAAAAAAATATAAATATAAGTTTGTGACAGGTTTTCTCTCCCCCTGTGTAATAATATATTATTATTTATATGATGTGATTTGATCTCATTTATGAGCCAAGTTTGAATTTGCAAACTTATTTTATTTTGCAAAATCAAATATAACTTGGGGCATGTTTTATTTTATATGTTTTGAAGTTATATTATCAATTATTAAGCAAATTTTTGAACTGCTACACCACTCCTACTGTTGGGCTGGTGTTGCAGATCTACATATTGTAGTTCCTTTGGAAATATATATATATATATATATATATATTTTCTGCTATGTTTGTTGTCTTCATTATATTTAGTAGGATTTAAGGTTACTTTTAATGTTCTCAGTATTTTTATATTAAAATACACTCATGCCCAATATGTTTACAGTTAAGTAATATAGAACAGAATTGTGCTTAAAATCCATTTACAATCAAACTCCTTGAGTGCACAGAACTAATTGCCCACAAATTAGACAATTGGCTCGACAGAGTCATGCACTGAGTAAATTCTTCCCTTTTTTGGGGGGAGGATATAAAGTAGGAGTAGACATAACAATATTATAAGTACCAAAATCAATCTCCTAATTATCCTGAGCCCTTTGATTATACTTTATAAGTAACCTTTGTTGCTTTAAGAATGTGAACAGACCTCATGAAATTCAATTTAGTGCTGGAAATTCGTCCCTTGTGGCTAACGTAAGAGATATAGATGAAAGATGAAAGGACAATGGAGCGCCTAACGTTGTGCTGAATTGGACATAATGGGATTCGGTACCGAGTAGCATGTACTGCCAACTTTGGCTTATTTACGTAGTCATGTCATTAACTAGTACATGCATTTGGAGTTCAGTTCTGTATTGTGCTAACTATAATCTTCAGTTACTCACCTACTCACTTTAATGTAGTTTACAAAGTTCTTGTGAGTCTCAAGTGGGATTGTCCTTAGGGAAATTACTCTATCCTTGCCCCTGGAGGAGTTGGTGATTTAATAATGTGGAATTGATTTTTTTTTTTTTAAAAAAAAGACAGTATATAACTGATGACAAGGAATTGCACTTATGCCTAACACACCTTAGTTTTAGAACGTTAGTTGAGCTGAGAACTGTGCTTAAATCTTTTGTTTTGTTCATCCCTTAGCAGATAAATATTTTGATGGCAGGGTATTGACTATTGCATTTGGCCATTTTTTTCTGAAAGTGAATACATATTCTCAATTGACAGTCTTAAATGTCGATGTATCACAGCATGTCTAACAAATATCTGAAAGGCAGTCTATACCAAAAATAAGAAAACGGAGGACATATTTCCTTCTGAGGTAATCCATAAAACCCTGGACACAGCCATTACATGCCTCACATGGTCTTTACTAATGTCACCACAACCACTATTACTTATATATTGCTGATGTTGTGAGGAATAGTGAAGCAACTTTTGTGCATTTATACTTGCTGGAAGATTTATTTTAGAAAAATCTTAGAATATATTCACTAATCTTGAATTAATAGTTCCGTATATTTGGCACTAATTCCCTGGATATTGTATATAGATAATCTAAAGTTACCAAGTATTCTGCATATATTAACTGCTAATTAATTATTAGCATTGACAATCTTGTTTAAACTTGATGCCATCCAAATATTAGATAATAGCTTCCATCGCCTCCAGGTTTCATAGCATTCCATTATAATGGTAGCTGCAGAATATCACACTTCATGGACTTTATTTATTGTAAAGGCACCCTATTTATTGTAAAGGCATCCCTTACCTTCTATATTTTTTAGATAAATTGAGACGCTTTAAATTGTAGGGTGTCCCATAAACGTACAGACACTGTGAATGCATTATTAGTGATGCTTTTATGGTAAGGAAATACAGTTGAATAACTTTCCAAACTTTCCATGTCAAATCCCAGTTTTTAAACCTAAATTGACTGAGCCTCCAGTGATTCCTTCACTTAATGAGCTTTTTTTAATCATCAGAGAGATAATCACGATTTCTGTCATATTTATGATTGATAAAAATCCTGCTTATTTCATAAAACATTATGTTGAACATGAAACATTTACTGTTTATACTTTGAATTTATAGCATCATTTATATAGTTTGATTTACTGATATGATCAGTAAAATTATTAACTGAAAAATTGAGGTAATTAGTACACTAATTATAACTTGGGGTTTTTTTGTATTTACTATTAAGTAAGGAAAATATTTTTTTACAGTCTTGTATGCTACTTACTTTATTTGCAAATTGCTGCAATACAATTATACATTAAAATGTTCATGGTAAAAATAAGAACAAAAATTAATAATATCCCAGCAACATAATAAATACAAATGTATTTATCCTTTGTTATATAACACATCATGATATGTTTTCTAGAATTCAACTTATAGAAGCTTCTGGAAGTGTAGTAATATCAGTGTGAATTTAATGTTAACATTTACATGTATATTTAATGTTTAACACTTATGAAAACCATTTCAAGGTTTATTTTATTTTATTTTTCCTTTGGGGCAATATTGGATTTTTTATCCTATAAGCTCAGAATGAACCGTCCCTTCAAAAGCTACATGCTTGAAATTTTAATTGCCCTTTGAATGTATGATATTAGTGATATAACACAGTTTATTTCTGTTTTATTAAGTATGGCTTCAGCAATTTTATATAATTGCAACCATATTTAAATTTAGTACCTGTCCTTTGGGTCATATTCTTCTGCTCTTCATGTCAAGAATGAATCCCCCATCTCAATATTCTTGGGGAAATGGCTTAGGAAGATTTACATCACAAGCCATATAAAGGGAGAGGGACTGAATAGAATTCTTATTATGATGATGAAAGGACCTTATATGGAAAGGGAAGCAAGGGAAGCCGTTAGATTGGCATTTATCACTACTTCCTGTTGCTGTTGTCTCCAGCAAACCTTTGCATCCCTGTAACAAATGGTGATATATGATTAATTGGATTGAAAAGATAATTGGATTCATGTTTCTCATTCCAATTTTGTTATAAAACCTATTAATGAGGCCTCATACACTTCAGGACTTCCTTGGAATATCTGATAAAATTATATGTAAGGCATTAATGAAAAGAAAACTATTCCTGAAAGACACTGCTCAGAGGCAGTAAAATCATATTGGGTTTTCACATAATATGCAGTTGTAAATTTGTATTTGTTACCAAGAGTATGTGTAGTGAGAATCAAGCTCCAAACCAGCTTTTGAGTATGTAATGGATTACATGTAGTTGAAAAACTCACATGCATATAGCATAATTAAAGCAAAGCCAGTAAAATGTTTCAGACACAGTTACCTTCCAATCTCATTGGAGTAGACAACTACAGTATTGCATTATTGGAATGATAATTTGTCTAAAACTCCTAACCTAACCCTAACCCTAGAAAGCTCGGCAACTTTCACATAGATAGTCATTGATCTATTCTAAATGTAAATGTGATGGCCTTAGGCAAACTGTCTCAAAACCACACCACATACGACCACACTTTAAGTGCACCTTATAATTTTAAGAAGGGTAGAGTTAGCACACGTATGTATGACTAGTTTAGTTTTTTTTTCTTTTTCTTTTGATTTGCACATTTCCTTGTCTCTTTAATGTAGTAGATCAAGTCTTTGAGGACCGTTGTTTAAATCTGAAAAGTTTGTGAGGTTATTTTTTTCCCCCATTACCTCTTACACAGGTTAGCACGCAGAATATGAAAATGGGTGGTCTGCCTCGTACCACACCACCCACCCAGAAACCACCCAGTCCACCAATGTCAGGGAAAGGAACTATTGGGTAAGTACAATTGCATTTACATCAGAAGGTGGAGGGAGAGAATGTAAAGGGGAAATCTAAAACTTTCTTTCAACTTTTGCAATTGTCTCTTGGCATAAAGGTACTTAAAAGCTGCAATCTGGGGTTTGAAGGCATCTTTCTTGCAAGCATAATATCACCAAGAGGTGTTGCATAATCATTCTGTGGAAGCCTTTGGGCTAGTGCTTGCAGTTTGAATAGCTGTACACTATTTTCTGCTGTATTTGGGGGGAAATACAGCCTGAATAACCTGTAGTAGATGAATAGAAAATTTCGTGACCCTGTACCATAATGTGGGGAATTTTTTTTTTATCTCCAAAGAATCCTATTCTCCCTTCCTTTCTTCTGCCTAGGGATGCCTGTTACACGTAGCATGACAGACCACCAAGGGGAATAGGAACTCTGTGCATGCCTCTTATAACCTAATCCCACCTGTCCTTTCTGCCCCAGTACATAAATAATCTCGAGGAAAGAGGGAGGGAGACATAGTTTATGGCAGGCATGCATGGATGCCTTTGTGAATTATCTACATAGATGCCAGCTGGGAAAGCTGGGCCTAAGGAAATCCTACACATATGCTACTTACTCCTGCAGTGCATTGGATCCAGCCCTGTGCATTTTTGAGCAGACCAATCTAGCAGGAATTCTGCACTGCCTTGGCCAAAAGGTTTTTGTATTTCATTGTCTGAAATTGCTTCCATACATGTTTTTCTTGTGTAGGCGTCACTCTCCCTATCGCACACTGGAGCCAGTGCGTCCTCCAGTGGTACCAAATGACTATGTACCTAGCCCTACCCGTAATATCGCTCCCTCGCAGCAGAGCCCTGTTAGAACAGCTTCTGTGAATCAGAGGAATCGCACTTACAGGTATTCACTCTGCTCCTGCGCAAAATATTAACAATAATTAAGACAAACTCGGTTTATAGCAATCTGCTTTTAACCACCCCACCCCACTCCACCCCCACCCCTCCACTTAGAGCTTCATAAATTCATGTGATTTCCTGGGAAATCCATCGGGAGATAGAGAGACACCATGCTGCTTATACTACGTGTTGTGTAGTGTGACGTTGTTTGTCTTGGAACAGGTTTTTGTTTTGTTCAAAAGCAATATATACAATACTCTACTGCATTGTGTAACAGATATACCATTGTATCTGATGTATTTATTTTTACTGCGTACTTTCTCTTTATAACCGGTGTGATACACAGCTTCTAAAATGTGGTACCTGCTAACAAGAATACTGCAACTGTGAAGTTAACGTACAACATTTTGAAATGGTGGAATTTTGATGCTTGTGAAAGTGCTGCCAATTTTAAACAAATGTGTAGTTCAGTTGACTTGAAATGTGGCTAATATTATTTATTTCTGTTGACCCTTAGAAAGTATATTGTAAGGGTAGGAAAATAACCTTGGTAAAATAGTTTTTGCAGTGTGGAATCAACCTGCAGAGCAGGCCAGCAGTACACAAGGGGGAAAAAATATGTTAGCATATACTAGAAGGCTCTTACGGCAATTTACAAAGAAAACTATTTTATACATGGATGTTTTTACTTCAAAGAGCGTCATGCACTTTAAATGAAAACAATTTCTTTCCACCAAAGGTCCATTTTACCAAAATTTTCAGAAAATGCTCCTGAAGTTGTTTCTGATCATTTCATCTGTACTATTAATCCTGAACGAAGTTTCCTAATTTTAGCTGAGGCATTGGCAAGGCATTTTAAAAACATACCCAGTTTTTTTATTGGTCTCTGAAATGGGCAAATTTAGCAAGCTTCTATAAATGTCGTGTAGCTGTGGTTTACCTGTTAGGGAATGGAATATAGTTACTTTGGCGGTTTGGATTTCTTTTAGCAGCAGCGGAAGCAGCGGAGGGAGCCATCCCAGCAGTAGGAGCAGCAGTCGAGAGAACAGTGGGAGTGGAAGTGTCGGTGTCCCTATTGCTGTCCCTACTCCATCCCCTCCCAGTGTGTATCCAGGTAATGTCCCTTTTGTTCCTAGTCCTATTTTCTTCTTTTGATTACTTGCTCAATTAGCCAGTGGTTTGGAATTGCAATGAAGGGTGAACAATTGAACTGAGTAATTTTACATTATAGCAATAGCAATAGCAGTTAGACTTATATACCGCTTCATAGGTCTTTCAGCCCTCTCTAAGCGGTTTACAGAGTCAGCCTATCGCCCCCACAGTCTGGGTCCTCATTTCACCCACCTCGGAAGGATGGAAGGCTGAGTCAACCTTGAGCCGGTGAGATTTGAACCGCCGAACTGCAGATAGCAGTCAGCTGAAGTGGCCTGCAGTACTGCACTCTAACCACTGCACCACCTTGGCCCATTACTTTGGAATGTTAAGATTTATTTAAAATCTCAGCTATTTTGTTTCACTATTCCATGTGACTCAATGTTGTAAGCCTCCTAGACCCTCCTTGTGGCGAGATGGGCGGCAAATAAATTTAAATAACAACAATGTTATGTGACAAATAGCAGCTATAGTAAAGCTAGATTTTGCTAGTATTATAAAATACATTCTGCTTATAAGTAATCCTTGACTTATCACAATTGAGATGAGATTTTTTGTTGTTGTAAATTGCAATCATAAATCAACCATCATACACAATCAATTTTATGACCATTTTTTTACAGTTACCATAAGTCGAATCACATGCTTGTAAATGTGAATCCAGTTTAATCAATGATATTTTTTTTTGGGTGGAAAACAGCGAATGGTGTCATATCTAGTAATCATGTGACTGCGGGACACTGCAAACAGTTGTAAATGCGAATGGGTTGCCAAGTGCCTGAATTGTGATCTTGTGACTATAGGAACGAGACGATGGTCACAAGTTCAAATTTAGGTGTTAACTGACTTTGAAAGGCTGTCATTAATTGAAACTATCGTTACGTGAACCATCATGCGTTGAAGATTACCTATTACTTTGAATTTCAAAAATTCCTGACCGAAATCTCCTGGACCAATGTAGCATACATGAGAAGAGAAGAGATATTCTCTTATGAATTGATAACTGGCTCAAGATCAGGAACCAAAGATCAAAAATAGATTCATACTGGGGTCCCTGAGCAACCGTTTTGGGATCGTGGCATTTTCTTCGTGTCTAACCAGATGTAACAATGAACAACAATATGCCCAACTTTTCTAATCCTGTGAGCTTCTGTTACAATCTTACAAAAGCACATTAGTCATACAGTTCTAAAATGTCCTTTGGTTTCTTAGCAAAAAAAGTCTTGTTATATCACCGCCGGAACCATATAGTTTCAAATGCAGTTTTTGTATTTTGCCAGTCACAATGACAATAAACATGCTTACAGTTAAAATTTTCAAGGCTAAGGTACCAATTTGTTATACAGATTTGTCATAAGGTATCTCTGGAGGCATTTCTATCTAAATTTTAGAGCATTGCTAGAATTCCTTACTGGGGTCTTTCTGTGAGTGGAATCTCATGAATCTGGCCCAGTGTCTGTGGGAACTCGTACCAGCAAATGCTGGCTGGGGAATTCTGAGAGTTGAAGTCCGGACATCTTCAAGTTGCCAAGGTTGAGAAACACTGATTTAGTCTTAGGTACCACTTCACAGTGCTTTACAGACCTCTATAAGTGGTTTTACAGAGTCAGCATATTGTCCCTAACAATTTTGGGTCCTCATTTTACTCACCTTGGAAGGATGGAAGTCTGAGTCAGCCTTGTGCATGTAAACATAGATGCAACATGTAGTGAGAGCAGAAAGACATGTATAGAGATGCATCTGTCTATATGTCTGCCTGTCTGTCCACCTATCTACCCACCCACATACTATATATTAGGCTGCCCGACACATATACAAAACCAGGCAACATATATGTAGTCATTATAAACAGATCTTTTTCATGCGCACTCTGAAAATGCACATGCATCCACTCTGATTGGACCCGAGAGACCCACAAATAGATGCAATATGAACTTACGAGGAGAAACATACCATCTGTCATGTTACTTTGTTCCATAGGAAAAAAAAATCAGATGCCACCTCTGGAAGTTGAATTCCAAACAATATGGTTTCCCTGTTTTTCCTCCTCCTCCTCCCTTTTCAAACAGGAAAATAATTGCAACCGGAAGAGGGAAGTTATTAGAATCGTTGGGGGTCAAATTACCTGCTTTAAAAATTTTATTTTGGGTTTTGGGATGGGCTTTTGTTGAATTTGATTAGGAGTCAAATAGTTAATTAAAACATTGGTCTGGGGACCATAAAAGGTGCAGGAGCTCCAGTTGCCCCCCCTCTCAAACCCCCCCCCCAACATGCAAAAGAGCCGAGGTGGCGCAGTGGTTAGGGTGCAGTACTGCAGGCCACTTCAGCTGACTGTTATCTGCAGTTCAGCAGTTCAAATCTCACCAGCTNAATGAGGACCCAGATAGTTGGGGGCAATAGGCTGACGTTGTAATCTGTCCAGAGAATGCTGTAAAGCACTGTAAGGCAGTGGCCTCCAACCTTGGCAGCTTTAAGACTTGTGGACTTCAACTCCTAGAGTTCCTCAGCCAGCTTTGCTGGCTGAGGAACTCTGGGAGTTGAAGTCCACAAGTCTTAAAGTTGCCAAGGTTGGAGACCACTGCTGTAGGGCATTTCAGATGTCTTAACTGTTATTCCTATTGTTATTTTCTAAACCAATTATCAACTTACAACCTGCCATTGTAATTGCTCTATGGCTATTTGGAGAATAAAAGTCACCCAGGTCCATCTAATGGAAGTTCACTGGCACAGTTATTTTGGTTCTTAATGAGATCTAAGGGCCACAAAGGTCCAAAACATGATTATTATAGTCCACAGAGATAAGAAGAACATCTGATATTCCCTACTGTGAAAAACTGCTAATGTTATCCTGAAAAAATCAGGAGAAAGATAGTAGTGTTATCTATAGACAATGCACATTATTAAGAGGCAACGGAGTTGACACTAACAATTTCCATATCCTTTTACTACAGCATACATAGCTGTTTACCTAAATAGTTACTTTAAAATAGCAAAAAAACAATTATGGCAACAACCTTCATTTGAAAAGTTTGTTTCTGTTTAGAATGATTTGTGAATAAAGTCATTTATTTATTGGATGTTTATCCTACCTTTATTATTTTGTAAGTAATGCAAGACAGGGAACGTACATAAGACTCCTTCCTCCTCCTATTTTCCCCACAACAACCCTAATCTGGGGTAGGATCAAACCTATTGTTATGTCCAATATAAAGCAAGGAACTTCATGGGCTGTAAATTTTGTTATGGTTAAAAGGAACTTCATGGGCTGTAAATTTTGTCTTACCAAGTGTTCCTGTTGAAATTAATCCAGTTTTACCACTTCTAGTCAATTTCAGTACCATGTCTATGCTAGATTGATTGTTCCAAACAGTTGTTTTACGCATGTTCTGACAAATATTCACGTTTTGCCTAAGGTAACAGGAGAAACCTTCCATTTCATTGTTTACCCTTTGCAAAAAGTAATGTGTTTCTTTATCGTTCAACTGAGAACTTTATTGTTGCTAGTTAATTTCTGAGGCGAAGCTGATAAAAGTCCAGTTTGTGTTTTTCACCAGCAAAACTGTCAAGCCAAGAAGAAGATCTTTGATCCACCGTCTATCAGACTCCAAGGCAATTGATGGCATTACATGGACCACACATTCCGGATCTGCTGAGCCCCATAAAAATCAATACTTTTCCATTATCGGGTCTGGCTGGGTCACTAGCCTGTCAATGAGCTGTTACAATTACCGTCCAAGGGTGAACCTAACCAGTCAATTGCTGCTGACAAGAAGAAAACATGCTGACAGGCCAACATCAACAGAGCAAGTCAGAAGGCAGATTTGCACTTCATCAAAAGAGGCTGTGGGAGTAAGGCCATTGACAAGATGTAGGGCATGTACCAGGGCAGCTCTGGAATTAAACCTCAATCTGATACACGCTCCACGCACCTGAAGGCTGTTCTCTGGGTATTTCCTCCCCTGGCCAGGTTCATTGTGACATCCCAGAGATGTGATCCTTTTGAAAATCCTGACTTAAAATGGGCCCTGAGGGAACTTCCTTTAAAGATCAAACATTGGCTGAAGAGCCGAGAGGTTTGCCATCTAATTTGGCCTGACTCCTTTGTCTAATAATGGCTTCCAGGTTAATCAGCTGCAATAAAAGGAAGGGAATTATCCTAATCTGATATTTAAACTTTTAATAAACTTCTTAAAATGTTACATCCATATTTTCACATTTTATGACTCCGGCTCTGTGTCTTTCAACATTCAGGTTTCATTGGCTCGTGACCCGACAAATGCTCGCACGACAAAACCGCAGTGAGAAAACC